ATGCCAATTCCACGTCTTTGTGTTTCTGTTATCTCCTTATGCAAACCGAATGCCAATTCTACGTCTTTGTGTTTCTGTTATTTACTTATGCAAACCGAATGCCAATTCCAGGTCTTTGTGTTTCCGTTATCTCCTTATGCAAACCGAATGCCAATTCCACGTCTTTGTGTTTCTGTTATTTCCTTATGCAAACCGAATGCCAATTCCACGTCTTTCTCTTTGTGTTATTTCCTTATGCAAACCGATTGCCAATTCCACGTTTTTGTGTTTCTGGTTTCTACTTATGCAAACCAAATGCCAATTCCACGTCTTTGTGTTTGTGTTATTTCCTCATGCAAACCGAATGCCAATTCCACTTCTTTGTGTTTCTGGTGTCTCATTATGCAAACTGAATGCCAATTCCACGTCTTCGTGGTTCTGTTATTTACTTATGCAAATTGAATGCCAATTCCACGTCTTTGTGTTTCTGTTATTTCCTTATGAAAACCGAAAGCCAATTCCACGTCTTTCTGTTTGTGCTATTTCCTTATGCAAACCGAATGCCAATTCCACGTCTTTGTGTTTCTGGTGTCTCCTTATGGAAAACTGAATGCCAATTCCACGTCTTTATGTTTCTGTTATATCCTTATGCAAACCGAATGCCAATTCCCCGTCTTTGTGTTTCTGATGTCTACTTATGCAAACCAAATGCCAATTCCACGACTTCGTGTTTCTGTTATCTCCTTATGCAAACTGAATGACAATTCCACGTCTTTGTGTTTGTGCTATTTCCGTATGCAAACCGAATGCCAATTCCACGTCTTTGTGTTTCTGGTGTCTACATATGCAAACCGAATGCCAATTCCACGTCTTTTTTGTTAGTGTTATTTCCTTATGCAAACCGAATGCCAATTCCACGTCTTTGTGTTTCTGTTATTTCCTTATGTAAACCGAATGCCAATTCCACGTCTTTGTGTTTCTGGTGTCTAATTATGGAAACCGAATGCCAATTCCACGACTTCGTGTTTCTGTTATTTCCTTATGTAAACCGAATGCTAATTCCACGTCTTTCTGTTTCTGTTATTTCCTTATGTAAAAACAATGCCAATTCCACGTCTTTGTGTTTCTGTTATCCCCTTATGCAAACCGAATGCCAATTCCGCGACTTTGTGTTTCTGGTGTCTACTTATGCAAACCGGATTCCAATTCCACGTCTTTGTGTTTCTTGTGTCTCCTTATGCAAACTGATTGCCAATTCAACGTCTTTGTGTTTCTGTTATTTCCTTAATGCAAACCGAATGCCAATTCCACTTCTTTGTGTTTCTGATGTCGACTTATGCAAACCAAATGCCAATTCCAGGTCTTTATGTTTCTGGTGTCTCCTTATGCAACCCGAATGCCAATTCCACGTCTTTGTGTTTCTATTGTTTCCTTATGCAAACCGAATGCCAATTCCACGTCTTTGTGTTTCTGTTATTTTCTTATGCAAACCGAATGCCAATTCCACGTCTTTGTGTTTCTGTTATCTCCTTATGCAAACCGAATGCCAATTCAACGTCTTTGTGTTTCTGGTGTCTTCTTATGCAAACCGAATGCCAATTCCACGTCTTTACGTTTCTGTTGTTTCCATATGCAAACCGAATGCCAATTACACGTCATTGTGTTTCTGTTATTTCCTGATGGAAACCGAATGCCAATTCCACGTCTTTGTGTTTCTGGTGTCTCCTCATGCAAACCGAATGCCAATTCCACGTCTTTGTGTTTCTATTGTTTCCTTATGCAAACCGAATGCCAATTCCACGTCTTTGTGTTTCTGTTATTTCCTTATGCAAACCGAATGCCAATTCCACGTCTTTGTGTTTCTGTCATTTACTTATGCAAACAGAATGCCAATTCCACGTCTTTGTGTTTCTGTTATTTACTCTTGCAAACCGAATGCCAATTCCGTGTCTTTGTGTTTGTGTTATTTCCTTATGCAAACCGAATGCCAATTCCACGTCTTTGTGTTACTGTTATCTCCTTTATGCAAACCGAATGCCAATTCCATGTCTTTCAGTTTGTGTTATTTCCTTATGCAAACCGAATGCCAAATCCACGTATTTGTGTTTCTGGTGTCTCCTTATGCAAACCGAATGCCAATTCCAAGTCTTTGTCTTTCTATTATTTCCTTATAAAACCGAATGCCAATTCCACGTCATTGTGTTTCTGGTGTCTACTTATGCAAACTGAATGCCAATTCCATGTCTTTGTGTTTCTGATGACTCCTTATGCAAACCGAATGCCAATTCCACGTCTTTGTATTTCTGTTATTTACTTATGCAAACCGAATGCCAATTCCACGTCTTTGTGTTTCTGTTATTTCCTTATGCACACCGAATGCCAATTCCACGTCTTTTTTGTTTCTGTTATCTCCTTATGCAAACTGAATGCAAATTCCACGTCTTTTGAGTTTCTGTTATTTCCTGATGCAAAGCGAATGCCAATTCCACGTCCTTCAGTTTGCGTTATTTCCTCATGCAAACCGAATGTCAATTCCACGTATTTGTGTTTCTGGTGTCTAATTATGCAAACCGAATGCCAATTCCACTTCTTTGTAATTCTGGGGTCTACTTATGCAAACCGAATGCCAATTCCACGTCATTGTGTTTCTGGTGTCTACTTATGCTCACCGAATGCCAATTCCACTTCTTTGTGTTTCTGTTGTCTCCTTATGCAAACCGAATGCCAATTCCACGTCTTTGTTTCTTTTATTTACTTATGCAAACCGAATGCCAATTCCACGTCTTTGTGTTTCTGTTATTTATTTATGCAAACCGAATGCCAATTCCATGTCTTTGTCTTTCTATTATTTCCTTATGCAAACCGAATGCCAATTCCACGTCATTATGTTCCTGTTGTCTACTTATGCAAACCGAATGCCAATTCCACGTCTTTGTGTTTCTGTTATCTCCTTATGCAAACCGTATGCCAATTCAACGTGTTTGTGTTTCTGGTGTCTCCTTATGCAAACCGAATGCCAATTCCACGTCTTTTCGTTTCTGTTGTTTCCTTATGCAAACCGAATGCCAATTCCACGTCATTGTGTTTGTGTTATTTCCTTATGCAAACCGAATGCCAATTTCACGTCTTTGTGTTTCTGGTGTCTCCTTATGCAAACCGAATGCCAATTCCACGTCTTTGTGTTTCTGTCATTTACTTATGCAAACCGAATGCCAATTCCACATCTTTGTGTTTCTGTTATTTACTTATGCAAACCGAATGCCAATTCCATGTCTTTGTGTTTCTGTTATTTCCTTATGCAAAACGAATTCCAAGTCCACGTCTTTGTGTTTCTGGTGTCTACTTATGCAAACCGAATGCCAATACCACGTCTATGTTTTTGTTGTCTCCTTATGCAAATTGAATGCCAATTCCACGTCTTTGAGTCTCTGTTATTTCCTGATGCAAACCAAATGCCAATTCCACGTCTTTCAGTTTGTGCTATATCCTCATGCAAACCGAATGCCAATTCCACTTCTTTGTGATTCTGGGGTCTCCTTATGCAAACCGAATGCCAATTCCAAGTCTTTGTCTTTCTGTTATTTCCTTATGTAAACCGAATGCCAAACCCACGTCATTGTGTTTCTGGTGTCTTCTTATGCAAACCGAATGCCAATTCCACGTCTTTGTGTTTCTGTTATTTACTTATGCAAACCGAATGCTAATTCCACGTCTTTCTGTTTCTGGTGTCTCCTTATGCAACCCGAATGCCAATTCCACGTCTTTGTGTTTCTATTGTTTCCTTATGCAAACCGAATGCCAATTCCACGTCTTTGTGTTTCTGTTATTTCCTTATGCAAACCGAATGCCAATTCCACGTCTTTGTGTTTCTGTTATCTCCTTATGCAAACCGAATGCCAATTCAACGTCTTTGTGTTTCTGGTGTCTTCTTATGCAAACCGAATGCCAATTCCACGTCTTTACGTTTCTGTTGTTTCCATATGCAAACCGAATGCCAATTACACGTCATTGTGTTTCTGTTATTTCCTGATGGAAACCGAATGCCAATTCCACGTCTTTGTGTTTCTGGTGTCTCCTCATGCAAACCGAATGCCAATTCCACGTCTTTGTGTTTCTATTGTTTCCTTATGCAAACCGAATGCCAATTCCACGTCTTTGTGTTTCTGTTATTTCCTTATGCAAACCGAATGCCAATTCCACGTCTTTGTGTTTCTGTCATTTACTTATGCAAACAGAATGCCAATTCCACGTCTTTGTGTTTCTGTTATTTACTCTTGCAAACCGAATGCCAATTCCGTGTCTTTGTGTTTGTGTTATTTCCTTATGCAAACCGAATGCCAATTCCACGTCTTTGTGTTACTGTTATCTCCTTATGCAAACCGAATGCCAATTCCATGTCTTTCAGTTTGTGTTATTTCCTTATGCAAACCGAATGCCAAATCCACGTATTTGTGTTTCTGGTGTCTCCTTATGCAAACCGAATGCCAATTCCAAGTCTTTGTCTTTCTATTATTTCCTTATGTAAACCGAATGCCAATTCCACGTCATTGTGTTTCTGGTGTCTACTTATGCAAACTGAATGCCAATTCCATGTCTTTGTGTTTCTGATGACTCCTTATGCAAACCGAATGCCAATTCCACGTCTTTGTATTTCTGTTATTTACTTATGCAAACCGAATGCCAATTCCACGTCTTTGTGTTTCTGTTATTTCCTTATGCACACCGAATGCCAATTCCACGTCTTTTTGTTTCTGTTATCTCCTTATGCAAACTGAATGCAAATTCCACGTCTTTGAGTTTCTGTTATTTCCTGATGCAAAGCGAATGCCAATTCCACGTCCTTCAGTTTGCGTTATTTCCTCATGCAAACCGAATGTCAATTCCACGTATTTGTGTTTCTGGTGTCTAATTATGCAAACCGAATGCCAATTCCACTTCTTTTGTAATTCTGGGGTCTACTTATGCAAACCGAATGCCAATTCCACGTCATTGTGTTTCTGGTGTCGACTTATGCTCACCGAATGCCAATTCCACTTCTTTGTGTTTCTGTTGTCTCCTTATGCAAACCGAATGCCAATTCCACGTCTTTGTTTCTTTTATTTACTTATGCAAACCGAATGCCAATTCCACGTCTTTGTGTTTCTGTTATTTATTTATGCAAACCGAATGCCAATTCCATGTCTTTGTCTTTCTATTATTTCCTTATGCAAACCGAATGCCAATTCCACGTCATTATGTTCCTGTTGTCTACTTATGCAAACCGAATGCCAATTCCACGTCTTTGTGTTTCTGTTATCTCCTTATGCAAACCGTATGCCAATTCAACGTGTTTGTGTTTCTGGTGTCTCCTTATGCAAACCGAATGCCAATTCCACGTCTTTTCGTTTCTGTTGTTTCCTTATGCAAACCGAATGCCAATTCCACGTCATTGTGTTTGTGTTATTTCCTTATGCAAACCGAATGCCAATTTCACGTCTTTGTGTTTCTGGTGTCTCCTTATGCAAACCGAATGCCAATTCCACGTCTTTGTGTTTCTGTCATTTACTTATGCAAACCGAATGCCAATTCCACATCTTTGTGTTTCTGTTATTTACTTATGCAAACCGAATGCCAATTCCATGTCTTTGTGTTTCTGTTATTTCCTTATGCAAAACGAATTCCAAGTCCACGTCTTTGTGTTTCTGGTGTCTACTTATGCAAACCGAATGCCAATACTGCGTCTATGTTTTTGTTGTCTCCTTATGCAAATTGAATGCCAATTCCACGTCTTTGAGTCTCTGTTATTTCCTGATGCAAACCAAATGCCAATTCCACGTCTTTCAGTTTGTGCTATATCCTCATGCAAACCGAATGCCAATTCCACTTCTTTTTTGTGATTCTGGGGTCTCCTTATGCAAACCGAATGCCAATTCCAAGTCTTTGTCTTTCTGTTATTTCCTTATGTAAACCGAATGCCAAACCCACGTCATTGTGTTTCTGGTGTCTTCTTATGCAAACCGAATGCCAATTCCACGTCTTTGTGTTTCTGTTATTTACTTATGCAAACCGAATGCTAATTCCACGTCTTTCTGTTTCTGTTATTTACTTATGCAAACCGAATGCCAATTCCATGTCTTTGTGTTTCTGTTATTTCCTTATGCAAAACGAATTCCAAGTCCACGTCTTTGTGTTTCTGGTGTCTACTTATGCAAACCGAATGCCAATACCACGTCTATGTTTTTGTTGTCTCCTTATGCAAATTGAATGCCAATTCCACGTCTTTGAGTCTCTGTTATTTCCTGATGCAAACCAAATGCCAATTCCACGTCTTTCAGTTTGTGCTATTTCCTCATGCAAACCGAATGCCAATTCCACTTCTTTGTGATTCTGGGGTCTCCTTATGCAAACCGAATGCCAATTCCAAGTCTTTGTCTTTCTGTTATTTCCTTATGTAAACCGAATGCCAAACCCACGTCATTGTGTTTCTGTTGTCTCCTTATGCAAACCGAATGCCAATTCCACGTCTTTGTGTTTCTGTTATTTACTTATGCAAACCGAATGCCAATTCCATGTCTTTATGTTTGTGTTATTTCCATATGCAAACCGAATGATAATTCTACGTCTTTGTGTTTCTGTTATTTACTCATGCAAACCGAATGCCAATTCCACGTCTTTGACTTTCCGTTATTTCCTTATGTAAACCGAATGCCAATTCCACGTCATTGTGTTTCTGTTATCTCCTCATGCAAACCGAATGCCAAACCCACGTCATTGTGTTTCTGGTGTCTTCTTATGCAAACCGAATGCCAATTCCACGTCTTTGTGTTTCTGTTATTTACTTATGCACACCGAATGCCAATTCCACGTATTTCTGTTTCTGTTATTTACTTATGCAAACCGAATGCCAATTCCATGTCTTTATGTTTGTGTTATTTCCTTCTGCAAACCGAACGCCAATTCTACGTCTTTGTGTTTCTGTTATTTACTCATGCAAACCGAATGCCAATTCCACGTCTTTGACTTTCCGTTATTTCCTTATGTAAACCGAATGCCAATTCCACGTCATTGTGTTTCTGTTATCTCCTTATGCAAACCGAATGCCAATTCCACGTCTTTGACTCTCTGTTATTTCCTGATTCAAACCGAATGCCAATTCCACGTCTTTAAGTTTGTATTATTTCCTGATGCAAACCTAATGCCAATTTCACGTATTTGTGTTTCTGGTGTCTAATTATGCAAACCGAATGCCAATTCCCCGTCATTGTGTTTCTGGTGTCTACTTATGCAAACCGAATGCCAATTCCACGTCTTTGTGTTTCTGGTGTCTCCTTATGCAAACCGAATGCCAATTCCACGTATTTGTGTTTCTGGTGTCTAATTATGCCAACCGAATGCCAATTCCAAGTCTTTGTCTTTCTCTTATTTCCTTATGTAAACCGAATGCCAATTCCACGTCATTGTGTTTCTGGTGTCTACTTATGCAAACCGAATGCCAATTCCACGTCTTTGTGTTTCTGTTATTTACTTATGCAAACCGAATGCCAATTCCACGTCTTTCTGTTTGTGCTATTTCCTTATGCAAACCGAATGCCAATTCCACGTTTTTGTGTTTCTGTTATTTCCTCATGTAAACCGAATGCCAATTCCACGTCATTGTGTTTCTGGTGTCTACTTATGCAAACCGAATGCCAATTCCACGTCTTTGTGTTTCTGTTGTCTCCTTATGCAAACCGAATGCCAATTCCACGTCTTTGAGTCTCTGTTATTTCCTGATGCAAATCGAATGCCAATTCCACGTCTTTCAGTTTGTGTTATTTCCTCATGCAAACCGAATGCCAATTCCACTTCTTTGTGATTCTGGGGTCTCCTTATGCAAACCGAATGCCAATTCCACGTCTTTGTCTTTCCGTTATTTCCTTATGTAAACCGAATGCCAATTCCACGTCATTGTGTTTCTGTTGTCTCCTTATGCAAACCGAATGCCAATTCCACGTCATTGTGTTTCTGTTATCTACTTATGCAAACTGAATGCCAATTCCACGTCTTTGAGTCTCTGTTATTTCCTGATGCAAACCGAATGCCAATTCCACGTTTTTCAGTTTGTGTTATTTCCTTATGCAAACCGAATGCCAATTCCACGTATTTGTGTTTCTGGTGTCTAATTATGCAAACCGAATGCCAATTCCACGTCTTTGTGATTCTGGGGTCTCTTATGAAAACCGAATGCCAATTCCACGTCTTTGTGTTTCTGTTATTTACTTATGCAAACCGAATGCCAATTCCATGTCTTTATGTTTGTGTTATTTCCTTATGCAAACCGAATGCCAATTCCACTGCTTTGTGTTTCTGTTATTTACTCATGCAAACCGAATGCCAATTCCACGTCTTTGACTTTCCGTTATTTCCTTATGTAAACCGAATGCCAATTCCACGTCATTGTGTTTCTGTTATCTCCTTATGCAATCCGAATGCCAATTCCACGTCTTTGAGTCTCTGTTATTTCCTGATGCAAACCGAATGCCAATTCCACGTCTTTCAGTTTGTGTTATTTCCTTATGCAAACCGAATGCCAATTCCACGTATTTGTGTTTCTGGTGTCTAATTATGCCAACCGAATGCCAATTCCAAGTCTTTGTCTTTCTCTTATTTCCTTATGTAAACCGAATGCCAATTCCACGTCATTGTGTTTCTGGTGTCTACTTATGCAAACCGAATGCCAATTCCACGTCTTTGTGTTTCTGTTATTTCCTTATGCAAACCGAATGCCAATTCCACGTCTTTCTGTTTGTGTTGTTTCATTATGCAAACCGAATGCCAATTCCACGTGTTTGTGTTTCTGGTGTCTCCTTATGCAAACTGAATGCCAATTCCACGTGTTTGTGTTTCTCTTATTTCCTCATGCAAACCGAATGCCAATTCCACTTCTTTGTGTTTCTGTTATTTCCTTATGCAAATCGAATGCCAATTCCACGTCTTTCTTTTTCTGGTGTCTCCTTATGCAAACCGAATGCCAATTCCACGTCTTTGTGTTTGTGTTATTTCCTTATGCAAATCGAATGCCAATTCCACGTCTTTGTGCTTCTGTTATCTCCTTATGCAAACCGAATGCCAGTTCCACTTCTTTGTGTTTCTGTTATTTTCTTATGCAAACCGAATGCCAATTCCACGTCTTTGACTTTCCGTTATTTCCTTATGTAAACCGAATGCCAATTCCACGTCATTGTGTTTCTGTTATTTACTTATGCAAACCGAATGCCAATTCCATGTCTTTATGTTTGTATTATTTCCTTATGCAAACCGAATGCCAATTCCACGTCTTTGTGTTTCTGTTATTTTCTTATCCAAACCGAATGCCAATTCCACGTCTTTGACTTTCCGTTATTTCCTTATGCAAACCGAATGCCAATTCCACGTCTTTGTGTTTCTGTTATTTACTTATGCAAACCGAATGCCAATTCCATGTCTTTATGTTTGTATTATTTCCTTATGCAAACCGAATGCCAATTCCACGTCTTTGTGTTTCTGTTATTTTCTTATGCAAACCGAATGCCAATTCCACGTCTTTGACTTTCCGTTATTTCCTTATGTAAACCGAATGCCAATTCCACGTCATTGTGTTTCTGTTATCTACTTATGCAAACTGAATGCCAATTCCACGTCTTTGAGTCTCTGTTATTTCCTGATGCAAACCGAATGCCAATTCCACGTTTTTCAGTTTGTGTTATTTCCTTATGCAAACCGAATGCCAATTCCACGTATTTGTGTTTCTGGTGTCTAATTATGCAAACCGAATGCCAATTCCACGTCTTTGTGATTCTGGGGTCTCCTTATGAAAACCGAATGCCAATTCCACGTCTTTGTGTTTCTGTTATTTACTTATGCAAACCGAATGCCAATTCCATGTCTTTATGTTTGTGTTATTTCCTTATGCAAACCGAATGCCAATTCCACTGCTTTGTGTTTCTGTTATTTACTCATGCAAACCGAATGCCAATTCCACGTCTTTGACTTTCCGTTTTTTCCTTATGTAAACCGAATGCCAATTCCACGTCATTGTGTTTCTGTTATCTCCTCATGCAATCCGAATGCCAATTCCACGTCTTTGAGTCTCTGTTATTTCCTGATGCAAACCGAATGCCAATTCCACGTCTTTCAGTTTGTGTTATTTCCTTATGCAAACCGAATGCCAATTCCACGTATTTGTGTTTCTGGTGTCTAATTATGCCAACCGAATGCCAATTCCAAGTCTTTGTCTTTCTCTTATTTCCTTATGCAAACCGAATGCCAATTCCACGTCTTTGTGTTTCTGTTATTTCCTTATGCAAACCGAATGCCAATTCCACGTCTTTCAGTTTGTGTTATTTCCTTATGCAAACCGAATGCCAATTCCACGTATTTGTGTTTCTGGTGTCTAATTATGCCAACCGAATGCCAATTCAAGTCTTTGTCTTTCTCTTATTTCCTTATGCAAACCGAATGCCAATTCCACGTCTTTGTGTTTCTGTTATTTCCTTATGCAAACCGAATGCCAATTCCACGTCTTTCTGTTTGTGTTGTTTCATTATGCAAACCGAATGCCAATTCCACGTGTTTGTGTTTCTGGTGTCTTCTTATGCAAACTGAATGCCAATTCCACGTGTTTGTGTTTCTCTTATTTCCTCATGCAAACCGAATGCCAATTCCACTTCTTTGTGTTTCTGTTATTTCCTTATGCAAATCGAATGCCAATTCCACGTCTTTCTTTTTCTGGTATCTCCTTATGCAAACCGAATGCCAATTCCACGTCTTTGTGTTTGTGTTATTTCCTTATGCAAACCGAATGCCAATTCCACGTCTTTGTGCTTCTGTTATCTCCTTATGCAAACCGAATGCCAATTCCACTTCTTTGTGTTTCTGT